CGATCAAAAATACGGCGTATCTTGATAGTAGCGGCTTTCCTGATTCCAGGTTGAAAGGTTTGTCAGATGAAGATTGCGTACCGGTACTCCAGTCTTTGCGCGATTGGCTTGCAAAACGTAAGAACGGTCAAGTTTATTAACCAGGGTCACTGCCTTATGAAAAGCGTTTATCCACCTCTAATATCTTCTTAATCAATACAGCTGATGTTGCAGCTCACTCACTTCTCCCGATTTATTCGCAAGATCAGGCATACTATATATCCTGTACTTTCAAGTTCTATGTTGATATCCTCAACCACAGCAGTGTGCTATGGTTGTCTTCTTTTTTCGTTGCATTTATCTGGATAGGAACCTCCCGCAAGGTTGACTGAGAATCTGGAGCTTTTTCTTATTTTCTTCAGCATCTGCATGCTGTGCAGTCTCTGTTCTTTGACTGCAAAAGCAGTTGCAAAGGAACAAACTCATGAACAAAATGCACTTATCAGGGTTATACACTCAAACAATCATATTGATTGTATACCTACCTCTGTACCCCATTCTTTTCAAGCTCTCAGGCGCTGCGCCCCAGTGAATGTCAGCCTGACCGCAGCATGTGGGTAGTGACATCTCAGTTGCGTTGTTGTGCCATCAACACACTTCCCCCCATCATGCCTTTCTAGTTATCTCATCCCACCCTCTCCTGAAGAGACATCAGCACAATAACATCACATTGGCCATTCTGTTCTTGAATCCCAATCTCCTTTGTTCTCACCTCCTGGACCTCCTGAAAGAACATATTAAAACGTGATAAACAATGTCTGAATCTCAGATTGCGTAACTCTCCCCACTTTTGCTCTATCATCTTGATCATGCAACTCACTATTCTTGTGTCCCATTCTAGTGATGAACTCCCACACCGTCGCGTGTGGTTAAAGTCAAAAGATTTTAAAGACGACCTGGAAGCCTACGCCGCTAACGGCCTCGATGACGAGCCAAGGGCTAGACGCAACGCAACCTTTGCGGAGGAGTACTATAAGCAGCCAGTGAGGAAAGGGTGGGCCTCTCTCATCCTATCGTTCTGGCTGCCCAGAGTGCTCCATATTACGGGGACATGCACCTCGGATGTCTTCATTAAAAGCGTTCAGCAGAGGGACGTTGCGCTCCTTATTCTTCTCGCCTTGGACATGGTAATGACCTCCTTCTCGCTGTGGTACCAGCGGGAAGATAGTCATAAGCCAGGTGTAGGAGTAAAGTTTCTTCACGGCCTTGGCTCACTAGTTGTTACTGGATTAAATGCTGCATTAGTAGCATATATTCTTGGAACATCTAGGTGGAAGCCAGACCTTCGAGCCGCCATATCATCTATAGTTATGGCTATTGTCAGTTTATATGCCTCTGCTGGCAGCTTCCTGCTGCTCCTGAACGGGGGTAGCTGGTAGCCTAGTTGAGGCAACATGGGCTGATTATTTCGATCTGGTTTGTCTCAGGATTCCGCAGAATGCTGCATGGGAGTCCCTGCCAGATCGGGAACGGGCTTGGGTTTATTCACAACTTGAGGAATATCTTGCTAGAAAACTCTGGGGACGTCCTCCTCCTCTCCCTCCTCCTCCTCCTCCTCCTCCTCCTCCTCCTTTCCTCCCACCGCCTGCTCCGCCTGCTATTGCTCCTCCAGTTAGCTATAGCAGCTCGGCGTCCTCGGTTAGTGGTAACGGTGCCACTTTCCGGCGCTCCAATCGTCAGCGGAAGCAAACAGAGTTCTACGGGCGCTTATAGTCCGGGTTCTGTGTAAATATGACCTTAACAAAAGCTGCACTGGAGGCATCATTGACTCCCGCATCCACCCCCTGTAACAGCTTGCGCTTCGATGTAGCACTGGGGCCGGGTAGCCCTCCCAAAGCTGAACACAACGTTATTTCTCAACACTCGATCTCGTCTATTCTGAATCTCTTCCGAATCAAAATTATTCAGCTGCAGGGCGAAGCTAAGTTGAGCTGACATCCGTCGTCCGTATGCGAATTCTGGAGAACCGCCGCCGTAATGTTTTCAACATCATCGATCAAATTTCATTACGACTGACCATACAAAACTGACTTTGACGGCCATAAAGTATTCGCGAAAAAATTATCACGGTTTCTTTAAAGAGTTGGAAGGGCCGGCAGCATACCAATTTGATCGCTGTAAACCGCAATATCAGCACTGCCACAGTCATACTTTCACATTTTCACATGGCCTACGCCTCTTTCTGCTCCGCTAGCATTGCACCCGTGTAGGAGGCACGGTACCGGCGCATACTTTCAATTATTAGGGTGTTTTCCATAAAGCATCCAGAAATAAAATTACATGCTCTTTCAGAGTCTGGAGCCTGCAGCATGAAAATAGATCGCTGCAAACCACAATATCGGCACTAGTACAATCATACACTCAACTATACCCCTTCCTGTTCCACCAGCATTGTATCCGTGTAGGGGGCACGGTACTGGTGATTGTTTCGATGATTACGGCTCCTTCAAGAGTCGGGAACAAGCAGCACGCAACTGTATCGTCGCAAACCGCAATATCAGCAGTAGCACAGTCATGCCCTCGCATTCTCAAATGGGCTGCGACTTTTTCTGCTCCATGACGTGTAGGAGGTACGGACCAATGCTTGTTTCGATGATTACGATATCTTCTGCTCATGATAGCGCCAAAAAAAAACAAAAACGGAAATATACAACAATCGTGTCGCATTTCGGTATTCGGAAAGCCAATCTACACGCAAACAGCGTGTACAAGTAATTCCAATTTGACGAAATCTTTCTCCTGTATCACATGATGCTCATTTCGTGTTGGAGGCACGGAAAGTTTGCTTTCAGCAATCATGATTCAACGAGACCTCGCAACATATATAAACCGTCTTTTCTCAAGTAGGTGTCTTTCCTCCTCCATTTCCCAAGCCACATATCCGAAGACAGAAATGAGTGTGAAGATAGTGCCAAGATTTGCATACATAAGGGTGTGTCTTGTATGCTGATTTTGTAAACTTCAACAGCACATTTAGGTTGTGTTGAGAGCGGCTTTGTCCTTCAAAGTTTCCCTATCTCTAAGACGGAGAGAGCAATTGATAATATATAACCAGCGGACCTAGGTACGTTGTTCACCAAGATACTTCCTGTGGCTACCTCTGTTGATTTGTGTTAACGGAATTTCCTGCTGACATTATTTTAGAAAATGAACTTGTCGTGCTTCCACAAGAATAAGAAAAAGCCAAGTTTCTCATTCCCCAGAAATTAGCCTAGTCCGCCCGACGTCTGATTGAGATCCTCGCTATTGGATCTGCATTTAATGAGAGTCCATTGCTCCGAATCCTTGGTTCACATCCAACGGCCAATTTTACATCATACTTCAATAGAACATAAAGACGAACGAGGACAAAGAGCAATCTTGAGTGCTAGCGAGTGTCGCTGCGAAGAACCGGCCCGGACAGGTATGTTTCCCAAATCCGAATCCCAAGTGTTCCGGAGAGGTTGACACTAGCTGAGCGGACATCTCATGGCCAGGCTTCTCACGAAACTTTACGAATCGGTACGGGTCGAATGTGCTTGGGTTGGGATAGGTGTCTGGATCCCACATTTTGTCACATGCGACAACGATAAGCTCGCCCTTTGGTATAAACGTTTTATCAGATAGTTCGATATCTTCTTCCGCAAGTCGTCTCATTGTGGTTAGGAAGAGTTGTTGAGATATTTCATAAAATGACTGAGGGGCGGGACACAAAGAATTCTGGATGCTCTCACCAACTGCAACCGGCTTCAGACGTTGAGTCTCCTTCAAAACACTGTCCATCAGCTTTAGTTTAAATAATGTGGTCTTCTTCAATCCCTCCGCCTGCGTCACTGTGATAATTTCATCGCGCAGTTTCTGAGTAAGTTCTTCGCGCCCACAAAGATTAAAGAGCACTTGTGTGAGAAGATCTGATGTCGTATGAATAGCGGCGTGGGAAAATGATAATTGTGCTACAACAGGGTCATAATAGCGACCCCTAGCAGATTCTTCCAACCACTGCATGGCATCGAGATAACGCTCTGGCGTTTTACCGACCCGGATAGCTGCCTCTTTTGCTTGTCGTCTTTCCTCAAGCACTGGGTTTATAATAGCCCTTGCCTCCTCAATCTCCTGTCGGAGCTTACGACAGGACGGTAGGAAGCTGGCTATTAGCGGACGTATTACCTCCGGCCATAGGCGGAGAGCCTGAGCAGCGATATATGAATTAACAGTGTAACTAATGGTTATTCGAAGCTAGTCTGGGTTGCGGCATAACTTTTCGCCAAGGAAGACTCTGGACGATAGCTGGGCAACGATTTTAAGGGCACTTTTTTTAAGGACAATATCATGCCAGCCTGAGTCCGGTCGGTTAGTTGGGGATTTGAATTCTCAAGGGACAAGCACGATACTACCAACCATGATTATTTGTCCAATCTCTTTCAAGGATGATAGAAGCCTCGGTGGAAATAGGTTCGATAACATTTCCTAACCAATCAGTAACTCTTTCAACAAGCTCAAAAATCGGAGAAGTGGAACGTGGTTGCAGACAAGCCACTCACCGAGGTGATGCGTTAACTGCATCCTGACGGCATCCTGGAAAATCTCGTCTGCTCTAGTTCCTTGTTTGAATGTGTCAAAGCCTTTGATATCGGCGTGAAATTCCTTCGCAATAGCGGCCCCAAAGTTCAGCAAAGGGTGGCTGCGAATCTCATCGGCATAACCAGCAGAAAGCACGGTCTTTGGCCCATTGTCTGTCAAAAGGCGAAAAGCCCCGGGCCTAGATAAATTTGGTGAAGTTTTAGCAAACGTTCTCATTCCTGTATCTCCGCACAATCACATCCCCTAATGGACGGACAAACCTACCTTACCAAGGCCCTCACCAATCAAGATGCGTGCATTTTTCAAAAATCGCTTCCCAGAGTGGGTATGCGAGAATTCGGATAATTTTTTCCCATTGATCAACGGCAAGCGGGACTTCTTGGGCAAAGTTAATTGAAAATATAACATCGGTAATAAAATAAAAATGGCAGCTAAGCCTAAAGTGCTCGGCATACTCGAATGTAACATCGTCTAGAAGCATCTTACTTCCGGAAATGCTTGCTGTTCATATATGCAGCGAATCAAGATGAACTAATCAGAGGATGGAAGTTCCAGAGCCGTCAAGATGAAGTCAAGCTGCTTTGTTGGCAAAAGAGTCGAAGAGAGTGACAGTCTGACGCAGGACAGGGTTTTTTACATTGTTCTTGTTCAACTAAAGATCTTCCCCTAGTCCTTGCAATATATGCCGCTTGGCTCAAGGGCAAAAGGACAGGATCCCATCCGTGTTGCAGACGCACAAATTAATTGACTGAAATACCGTAACCAAGGCATGATTTTTCAATGAAGCACCACATCCACCGACGGCTGCGTCAATATTGGAAGAAATCGTCAAAATTCTGGTGAATACGAAGCCTCGAACAGGTGGAGGAATGGTACAGTTTCTATCATCCTCTCCCTCACGCTCTCTCGTCAACCATGCACAAGCGCCAGACTGCGCTGCCCTTGCTATTGCGCCCAAGCTAAATCGAGCATAATGGCCTGATTGAAAATTATACGATTATTAACTTAATGCCACTTGATATCGATCCTAAATACACACACGCTCAATCACCTGAGGCTGGTTTTTGCTAAGCTTGTTACAGAGGTTCATAGAGAGGCTGCATTCGAGTAGCGAACCCCACCGATGTCAGAAACGTATTTTTTCCTCACCACACTCC